CTGGAAGCCTGGTACCTGCAGATCTGTGGTGCAAGCTGGGTTTCAGTATGTGTGGGTGCTGCCGGAGAAGGCTGTGATCCTGTCCTCTCCATGGGCGCTTGTCCTTGCCACTACCAGGAAAGTTGGCAGAAGGTTGGTTGTTTTTTTTTTTTTGTAACCACAGGGCAAATGGGTCTGGGTTAAAAGAACACTGGGGCTATGTATAGTTTTATTCGCTTCGCTTAAAAATTAATCCAGATCCCCTTCATTGTGTGGCCACACAAATGTTCTGGCAAGAGGAGATGGGAGGGACAAATAGGTGTGTGACAGACCAGAGTGGAGGTTACTGCCCCTTTTTTCCGATTGTAAAATGTCTGCAGCCTGCCCCGTTGCAGCGGTACCCTCAACAAGCCCAGTGTCGGGGGGACACCCTTCTCTACAGAGGCAAGAGGCAAACTGCCTGGGAGTTTTGGGAGGCTGAAATCCTCCTGCAGTGCCACTATGGCAGATAAGCCGCCCTGCCCGTCCCTGTCACTGGAGCTGAAGGCTGGGAATCAGCAAAGCCCCGGGGGTGCCAGGCCTGCTCCCCTGCCCCTATCAGCCAAGCTTCCCCTTCCACCCCCATGCACCTTGCTCCCACAGTTATTAAGTGGCCCTGTGCAAACTTCAGCTCATTATATTAGATGTAGATGCTCTGTGTGCAAAGGACTGTGGAAGCAGGGAGGACTGGCACGCAGTAGTAAATGATACTGTCTGGAGAACACAAGGGTGCCTTTAGCTCAATGTCTTGTCTCATCAAATATCTTCTGATAATTGCTGGTAGCAGAGATTTTGTATATGCAATGGAATATGTGTATATTTTTGTACATTTGTATTCATTATTTTAGTAGCTGCTGTTTGACTTTTATTCCAGGGCTTTATCTAGACCTTTTCTGAATGTATTTCTATTCTTAGGATCTAATACTCAGTATAGGTAACTGGCAGAGCTGAACTGTGATGGGGAGAAACCCTTCCTTCAGTCTTCCACTTGCTGCCTGATCAGCAGCATGGATGTGCCCCTGGAGGAACTGGGTTGTCCTTTCTCGCTCACCCTTTCAACAGTATTCATAACTTCATGTTTCTCATCCTTTTCCCTACTGTAAATCCTTCTGGGAATGGAAAGGTTCTGCTTATTTGCTTCTTGCCAAGGTTGTTAACGTTCCTGATCACCTCTCCTGGTCTTCTCCGTATTATACCCCTTTCTGTGCATAGGGGTTAGGAGTATGTGTCAGTGAAGACTTGGAGATGTTACAGTGATATTTGTCCCTAACTGCTTTCAGAATAATTTAAACTTCTTTCCTCTGTCATTCAAGGGTCACCAACTTGACATTTGTGAAGCATGTGATACTCCAGCTATATAAAAGTTGCCATTGATGGTGTTAAGGGGATATACCTGGAACACGGAACTGGGGTTGTTTCTCTCCCTACATGTATGTCTTTGTGCTATTGTCATTAACCTTCATCTGTCATTTCTGCCCACTGGCATAGTTAAATCTTCCTGCCTGTCCTCTCCAACTATCAACTTCTGGCTATTCTCAATAATTCTGTATAATCAAAAACCTTAATCACCATACCTTTCTCCAAGCAGAACAGTATCTTGGGAGTTGGCTATCTAATAACTTCCCTCCACCTCGGAAAGCTGACAACTTATTTCTGTCCTTACTAAGTGGTTAAAAGAAAATAGATCTATAAAGGTTCTCTTATACCCTAACCCTCTGTCAGTTTGACTTTTTTGTTTTCTTCTGGAAATCCATGTCTGTAACAAAGAAAAGGATTATTCTGTGTTCTAGCTGGTCCCTCAAAGTATGCTGTTAGACCTGGGACACCTGATTTCCTCAATAAACACAGTTTTGTTCCTTCCTCCCACAGCATTGGATCCAGTGAGTCAGTCTGTCCGTTTGCTAGCCTGGCACACCGGGCAGCCGAACTAGCCTGTGGCAATGTGGGTTCCTCCTCCTTCATTTGCCTTTCCTTCATTTTCCTCATCTGTCCGATTTTGGCAGCTGGGTAAATACCCAGGTTTGCTCAGCAGTGCAAGAGCCTTTGTGGTGCAGCGGCTGAATACCGGTTCATGCACAGATACTATTTTGGTCTGGTTGCTTTTCTGGAAAAGAAGAGGACAAACAGGACTTCTGATGCTTAAAACCTCACTGGTTCTTCAGGTGCCTTCTAATCCCAAAGGGAGTAGCTTTGGTGTGGGAACCTCCACTGACTTTTTTTGTATTTGTGCTCGTGTCAGGAGCTTCTCTTTTTCATTAATTTACTTCAGTGTTGCTGGCACTCCATGATCACATATTCAACTTCCCATGTCCTTAGCGAGCTTGGCCAACTTAGCAAGTTAATATAAAAACCATAATAAAGACTGCGCTATCTTCCTCAACCTAACTATTGTCCTTCCCATTTCTGTAGTTCCCTTACTCAGCTGTTCCTTTGTGGTTTACAGATAGCCTAGCCTGACACAGAGGCTATGGTGTAAACAGAGGGTAATCAAACTTGGCAACTGCTTCTCAGCCTGCCTCCCATCAGCATTTCTGCCATGGTCCCACCTTGCTTTGCCTGGGCAGCCCTCCTGCTCTGCACTCTCCATCTCAGTGGAAATTTGTAGTGGCTGGAAGCCTGGTACCTGCAGATCTGTGGTGCAAGCTGGGTTTCAGTATGTGTGGGTGCTGCCGGAGAAGGCTGTGATCCTGTCCTCTCCATGGGCGCTTGTCCTTGCCACTACCAGGAAAGTTGGCAGAAGGTTGGTTGTTTTTTTTTTTTTGTAACCACAGGGCAAATGGGTCTGGGTTAAAAGAACACTGGGGCTATGTATAGTTTTATTCGCTTCGCTTAAAAATTAATCCAGATCCCCTTCATTGTGTGCCGTTGCAGCGGTACCCTCAACAAGCCCAGTGTCGGGGGGACACCCTTCTCTACAGAGGCAAGAGGCAAACTGCCTGGGAGTTTTGGGAGGCTGAAATCCTCCTGCAGTGCCACTATGGCAGATAAGCCGCCCTGCCCGTCCCTGTCACTGGAGCTGAAGGCTGGGAATCAGCAAAGCCCCGGGGGTGCCAGGACTGCTCCCCTGCCCCTATCAGCCAAGCTTCCCCTTCCACCCCCATGCACCTTGCTCCCACAGTTATTAAGTGGCCCTGTGCAAACTTCAGCTCATTATGCATTAATTATACAAGGCCTGCAAAGGTAGAAGAAGAAAGTAAGAAAACCTCATTTACAGCATGTGGCTGATGTTAACAGAGGGGCACGCCATATACAGATTGTACACTTGGACTGAATTACGACACAGTTATTACTGACCTTAGGCATAATGCCACATTCCAAGGCAAAACATGAACCATGCCAGGCCCCAGCTTCCTGAAGCTTAATTAAGATTATGGGAGAGTTTCATAGAATGGTTGTGATCGTCTGAGAGGCAGCAGTTTCAAAAAGTACTTGCCGTTGTCAGGTATGTTATTACATGGGTTTATGATTAATAAACGCATGAGCTACTGTATGAGATTTATGCACCAGAGCATTCTAATCTTTACTGTTACTGATGCTTGTCTGTGTTCTTGCTACTGGAAAGGCTCCTTCTCCTGGTCCTGGGGTTGTCGTATTGTGTTGCACATCAATGTCTGCCTGCTTTAGTTCCCATGAGGAAATCTTATGCCACTGTCTAATCTGTCTCTTGCCTTCTGCCAGCATTAAACAGTTAACAGACATCAGGCTCAGTCTGGACCTCACTTTTGCACTAAACTCAAATTTCTCCCATTTTTTTTCCCATATTTAATCTACAGTATAACCACACTGAAAACCAGACTGTTTTCTCAAAGGTAGATGGGGTTGCTTTGAAGAGTGCTGAAGGCCAACACCATGTTCTCCAAGGCAAAGCAGGTAATGTTTTGCAACTAACTGCAAAGTGTGCCCACCCCACCGCCTCTCCTGGGTCTCCTGTGGCCAGCAGGCAGTCCCTCCCCTGGGGCCTGGGGGACGCGGGAAGGGGACAGCCACAGCCTCTCCTGGGCTGCTGCACCAGGCTCTGCTCCCAAAACCATTCCCTGGGCCTGGATTTTAAAATTAAATCTTCAGGAAGGCCTGAAGCAAAGCAGGGGAGCTTGGAAAATATTTGACGGATTTCAATAGCTGAACTCCAATCTCTTGCCTTTTGCACAAAGTTATCAAGAAGATGGTATCAAGACTGCTGCCATATAAAGCTTGCGCCAAACTAAATCAAGCAGAAACTCCTGATATGGCGCTGGTGGAAAGAATGGCTCTAAGGAAAAAAATTGCATGACCAGAAAGATATGACTGGGTGTGTGCTGTTATGTGTTCGGCATCCTGTACTCACATCTCTGACTTCACTTGCTGTGAAATAAAGCTCAAGACCTGCGTAACACTAACAAATGAAATATGTGAGAGAGCAACAAATGGCTCCCCTTAAGTTCAGCAGTGCTGTGCCAGCGATTTCAGCTTGCGTCCTCCTAATGCCTTCGGTAGCCTGGGTCTGCATAAATGCTTCCCTTTTATTTACCAGAAGCCCTTACGAGTGCAGGTGGTGGGACCTGGGTTTTTTTCAGTGATGGCAGGAGATGAAGCAGGACAGTTCGTTGGCCTGTGAGAGGAGCTAAAAGCCACTGCCCTTCACTGACTTCGGCATGAAGTTGCTGAGGTTGCCGCAGCCTGATGGCAGGCTGTGGTGCTCAGCCGGCAATGCGAGGAGGGCCAGGGAGGTGAGAGCCACCTCTACCCATAAAATAAGGCCAGGCTGTTGCCGTTGCACCAGCCGTAACGCTCGGGCTCTCTCCCCATGCTCAGCAGTGCTGGCCGGGCAGAGCTGCCACCCCACAGTGAGTCTGTCACCTTCCCTCCATCATCAACCCAAGTGACATAAAAGTGCGGGAGCTCAAGGGACGAATGAAACAAAGAAAGGCAGGGCCATGTGGACAATAAACAGTTTATTACCAATATGAACACAGATACTGTGATGCACCGACGTACCATTTTTTTTTTTTATATTGTGATAACTCTGAGACAAAGAACTTGTTGGCTGACAACTAACATGTCTCTGTTTCTTCTGGTGATGCCACAATACATTTCTGTTGGCAAAGGATCTTCATTTACATTGCAGACTACTAGTAAAATTACTTTGAAGTCATCTATCAAAAGCAAATGGTTCACGTGTGTTCTTATCTACTACTAAAAAGAAAGGTAATACATTTAAATAAGCAAATACAAAATACAAAAAAAGGCTGACAAATCCAATGTGCAGTGTCAGATGAAATCTAAAAAATCCAGAAATTTAAAATTTAATATTCTGTAGATTAAGACTTTTAAAATGAAGCGAATCCAAGGCAGCAGCAAGCTTCAAAGTGTGCTGAGTCTGCTAATAAAAAGGGTATAAGAACAAAGACAGTGCCGGTGTCCTCTCTCACCATCTTGCATGACCTTGGTACACTTAGAAATGATCCGATCTTCCTAGCATTCTTAGTACCGTCCAAATGCTTTGCAATCATTATGTTGTACTGATTCTACTCAACTCCTGCCGTATGGCTAGAAAACCAAACCAAAAGGTTAATGCATAATGTTACACCCAGTGTGATGGAAAACGCTAAGTACAGAGGCTGCAGAAAGTACACGCTGGTAAAAGGATGAGTGGAGGGTAAAAGGATGAGTAAGGGTAAGCAGTCAGCTGTTTGCTTGCAAACTGCAGTACTGGCTTAAGAAGTTGCATCTGTGGTTTATGTGAAAGTCTTATTTTGCACTGGAATGAACTAGGGAGGCGCTGAGGGCCAAGCTGCTGGGACGGTAGCGTATGGGCGAGGGTGTCCTCAACTGCAAACTGCCCCAAGATTTTGTGAGCACACAGGTCTAGGGCTAGGGGAGAGGGAAAGGATTTTAGCTGGTTTACAGTCTCCTCTTTTTCCCCCTCTGTGTGAATCTAAGATGGGGAGTGCAGGATGTGGACATGTATCTTCATAATGCCCTAATGTGGGCTTCAAACAGGTATTTTGCTGTGCATTGCAATAATGGCCCTGAAAAATAAATTTAGTCATGTACTGCAGAGCAATTTATAAAAAAGTGCCGATATACTTAGTACAGCTGTTGTACTTTTCAAGGAATTATAAAAACACATGGCTATTTGGAAAGCTGTAATCGCATGAAGGCCTGAAACAGCTCTTCACGCACAGGAAGCCTACAGAAGATGCTCAGGAAGGATTTTCAGTTTGGTACCTTTGTCCCCTCCTCATCCCGGACCTGTGTGGCCGGCTAGTTACAAGCGATTTCACGCTCCCTGGTTGTGATAAATTGACACGCCATGGGCTATGGGCAGGCTCTTTCTCACCCTCCCACCTGTGAGAAACACCGGCCAGTGAATTTCTCACACGTTGGGAGTGAAAGTGCTTGTCAACAGCAGAAAAATAAAGGATGTAAACACAGTGTCACGATCAGAGCTCGGATAAGGTAGATGCTTGTTCTTCAAATGTGTGTATCAATCAGAGCTGCTCAGAGAAGTCTGAACACACCAGGGAACTCTCTGCAGTTCCTATCATCTTATCTATGGGAAATTAGTCATAAAGATGAGAAAAATAATAATTTTTCTCTTTCTTACCATCAATTATCTCCTCTTTCACTTTGTGTAACTCTCTTACAACTTCCTCCAATATTTCCTGATGAGACAAAACACAAGTCAGCTGCTCAGAATTTCCTTCTAACCGGTGGAAGAAAATGCAAGTTTAACACGGTTGTGCTTGTCCCCCGCCTCCGCTGACCATCAGAGCCTAGCACTACTAACAGCTACGTCTGCACTCCCAGGCCAAGGACGCAGAAGATGCTGGCATATTTATTTTCACGTTTCTGTACAGACATCTTGATCAAATAGCAGTGAGATTGTGCTCTCCTGCTGCTCAGCAGCTAGCCCTTCTCTAAGCACCTAGTTATAGAGGAAATCAGAGGACTGAACAGCTGTGTTGCTTGTACAGCGCATGCATGGGGGAAAATGGGTAGCTCGTCAAATCTCTTAAGTGCAAAAGGCCTTTTCACTCACCTGTTTCATTCGATCAAAATCTAAGGCATCCATAGCCACATCATTGCTGCTGCTCACTGGCTTCATCCTTGAGAAATGGAAGAGGAGGACAAAACAGCCAGTCAGTTCCTTGCAATGCACGCTAAGCTGCACCCACCTGATGGTGTGGATGAAATCCACCCCAGAGCAGGAGCACTCGTGTTCGAGTGCCAGACCAGAGGCTCCCTCTTGTGCCACCCAGGAGAGTTCAGCAGCCAGAGAGCAGCACAGCTCCCGTCTGCACAGCCTGACCCTCAAAGGTGCTGCGTTCTCCTGCTGCAGACGTACTGGAGGGAGCGCAAAGACTGCTCTGAAACTTCCTTTACTCTTCTTTTTTTTGGTGTTGGGAGTCTCAATGATTTCAGAGCAGAAAATGCTGAGATGTCTTCAGGGGATAAAGCCTGTTTAACGATGTATTTTATTACAGCATTTGCAATTTGCAAGCTAGGTGTCTGGTTTTCTCTCTCCATCTGCAACCCTGTCTTGGCCACCTAGACTTTAATCAAGTGCTAAAATAATAGTAGAATACAGATTAGAAAAATATTATAGGGAAAATAATAACCCAGTAATCCTTTCCTCAGAAGGCCTGATTGAGTCAAGCAGAGCTTGTTGATAGCACCGTGTAACACAGGCACTTTTTCTTGACCCAGAAACAAAACCAACCTGCCCTTAATGGCTAGTACACTTGAGTGTTATGGGTCTTCCAGGATGGCATTAGCCAGTGGGCTGAACTCTGATGACAGATGATAGAATAAATTAAGGAAGAAGAAGCTGGTCAACTTTCTCTTTTAATTAGTAACTCTAAAATATTTCAAAAATTAACTGTGCCATGTGATTTGTAGAAAAGGCTTCAAATAACTTTGCCGTCATCTTTGGGCCCAAACTGGGGGCTGGCAGAGATTCTGCTGCTCCTGAGGGTACGCTTGGTCTTGCAACCTTTCCTTGGGAGAAATCTTAACGTGTCTCCTACCATCTCACAGCTAAGCTGGGAATTAAGACAGATACAAATGCCATCAAACTGAACATGAATGGAAACAGGTCACCGCTGAGAGCTTTTGAAACCTGCCCTGCTTCCCCCCCACCCCCCCCCCCA